ACAGAGAAGAAAGGAGTGTGTCAGAGCACAGGCGCCACCCACCGCGACCCTCTTCCTGTGGCCTAATTATAGCTGCTTTGTGAAGGGCCAGTCATGTAACAGATAAGTTGAGATTCTTAAACTAGAATGCTCTGCATGGAGAAGGAGGTCTGTAGCAAACTGACAGTTCCACCCGGAGACTAGCTTCCCTCTGCTGTGGTGCCCTAGTCCTAAGAAGCCTATTGCACAAAGCATTACACTCTGGCAATGCTGTAAAAGAATGGTGGTTAGATTGTCTGTTTTAGAATCATCCTTCCCTTTTTTGCCATCACCAAGCAGCTGCCCCAGCATTTGCAAAGCAGCTGTTTCATGGCGAAATGGATCCCAGCTCCAGCAGCCACCAACTCACTAGTGATACACCCCAAACATCTCTGTGATAAGTGACAAAGTCCTCATGTTTAGGTATGTTCTGACGTGAATCACACCCAGAGAATCTGGGGAAGAGAAATGGGAAAAAGAACACAAATGTCCAAGCTTTTTGTTTGTTTGTTTCAATGTCACATGTAAGGTTACTGCCAGAAGGCACTTTCAATTCTCTTGGCCAAAAACCTTCATTCAAAAATGTCAATATCATTTAACAGCAAAAGCAGTAGAATTACTCTATTCAATAAACAGTTAACAATACACAGACATTTTCAGCTAAAAAAGGACTTACCAGAGTGTACCTTTTAGCGATTTAGTAGTTAATTAGTAAAAAAAAAAAAAAAAAAATCTTTTAACAACATCTGGTGAACAGTCTCTAATTTCTGAAGTTTTGGAATGAAAATCCACTACACAAATTCATTGCTATGAACAGTCTGCCTGTTGTTTACCTTTATGCCAATCTCATTCCCTACCAGGAAAATATATTTCAAATGTGTTTCTGTATTAGAAACTGAAGCATAAGAAAAAGCAATTTCAGATTTCTGGGCATGACATTAATGCCGTGCAGTTCACCAGCTGCCACCCATGGGTTAAGACGCCGTCATGGACTTGGCCATAAAGTCAGCCGTGTTGGACAGAAAAGGACGAACGGCCGTCCCTTTCCTTCCATTTGCAGCCTCCTCTACGCCGGCCGAGCCCCGGAGCCGGAGGTGGGAGGTGGGGCTGCTCGCCCCCTTCGCCTCACTGTCGTCTCCCTGTCCTCTGCCCCATGAGAGCGGGGTCAGCGTGAACGACCTTGGGCACAAGCATCTCCGTCCGCGGAGGCGCCGGCCTTGCCAGGCTGCGGGTGCTGCCGCCATAACCTCCAGGCCGGCAGCGGGCAGCGCCGACAGCCTGAAGTACTTACGCTGTTCTGCAGTTTAATGACTTGCCAAGGCCCCTCTCTTTTAAAATTTTTAAGAAGGTTTTACGGCTGAGTTAATTTACATGCCTGGTTTACCCAGACAATATCGGGCTACATGTTGCTTTGAAATGCATGACATTAGTCACTGACATGTATCGGGGTCAAAACTCGATCTTGTTAGAGTGACACCTTGAATTGATTAGAGCTCTTTCTTCTGAGAAACACACATTGTGTACACAGTCACAGCCTACGTCCTCAGAGAAGCCACTTGAAGTTTCCAGGATAAAGTGCAACTTCAGTTTATCAGTGAGAAAAAGATGAAGGAGCCAGTTTAATCAGAAAAGCGGTCCTCACTGGGAGGTGCTCTTTCATGGTGAGAACGTTGGGCTCTAAGGACGGGCTGAGGACAGGCTGATCGCCTAGCAGCTTTGAGGACTGGACGGGCCACCAGTTCTTCCAGGGACCTGGCTTCCCCATCTCAGGTGGAGCTTAAGTTCAGTTCATTTTTGTATCTTCTATAGAACCGTAGACTCAGACTTGCAATGGGTACCAGCTATAGGATTTCTATAAAAACCTTTTGAAAAAAGCCCGGTTTAGACCCTGTACGGGGAAAGGTCTCCTAAGAAAGCAGACCTGGGCGTGTACGTCTGGGGCTAGGATCTACAGCCGCCTGTCCTGGGAGATGAGGCCCAGCCTGGGGAAGGGGGGGGTCACTGTGAGGCTCTGAGTGGGCTCTGCAAAGTGGATTTGGGGAGGAATTGTTGCAGGTCTTGTAGGGAAAGAGGAGGTGGGACCTGAGGTCGTCCTCAGGGAAGGAAACCCACGGAAAGGACAAAGCTGCTAATGGGAACCTCATGACCCCCCTTCTGGTCCTGGCAGCTGGGATCCTCACCCACGCACCCGGGGTTATGTGTGGGCAGCCCAGTGTCACCTGCATGGGTCTGGCTGGACTACAGCACAGCTGGGGAGAGGGGCTGGCCTGTGGGGTTTCAGGAAGTTTGCACCACAGGCTTCCTTCCACCCAGGTGACAAGTGAGCTGGGGAAGACCATCTGACCAGAACCCGGCAGGTCACCTGCACGGTGCATCCCGTCGCTGCAGGGGTGTTCCTCACTGTGCTAATTAGACCTTTCTGATCACTTGATCTGTCCTGGGTTGAGACATGTGAAATAAAGGCTTCTGAGAATAATGCACTTCTGTATATTTCTTCTTATAGTGAGTATTTATTTATGAATGTAGGTACTATATTATTTGGTTTATAGAATTTAATGCATTTACCTTCTTTGCTTGACTCAATACTTTTGCTCTAAAGTCAGCCTTAAATAATATTAAAAACAAAGTTTGTGGCTTGTATTTGCCTAATATCCTTCACCATCGTTTATTTTAATGGTTAGGTTGCTTGCTTGCTCAGTTGCTTGTCGCACTCAACTCTTCTGCAATCCGTGGGCTGTGGCCGCCGGGCTCCTCTGTCCACGGGGATTCTCCAGGCAGGAACACTAGGGTGGGTGCCATGTCCTCCTCCCGGGGAGTCTTTTTGACCTAGAGATCGAACCTGTGTCTCCTGCTTGGCAGGCAGATTCTTCATCACTGCGCTATGTGGGAAGCTCTATGGTTAGATTACATATGGCATAATATTGGGGTTTGCTTTGTAGTACAACTTCTAAGTCTGCTTCTATTATTAAGTATGTTTTGCCTATTTGTATTTGTTAATCTGATTCTTACACCAGTTGCTACATTCCATGATTATTAACATTATACCTTTTATCTACATTAAAATTTTTCATAATATGGCTTTATTTTAATTCCTTTTTCACTATTTCTTCTGATAACTTGGATGGTTTAGATTTTTGTTCTAATGATCAACTTTATAAGTTTCCATTTCTTTAGACAATATCTTTTGACTTCCTTCTATTAACATTATTATGATTAATATATTTTCCCTTTTCACCTTCTTTTTATTCCCCCATCAAACAATTTTATTTATTTTATTCTTATGTTACCTTATATCTTTAAATATACCTTTATTACCTGATACATCAGCTCCAAGTGGCATAACACTCTGTCCAGAGTAAAAGATGAGGATGAAACTAGCAAATTTATGCTTTATTTGCACTTTCTTCTTTTTTTCTTCTCACACCATTTGTGGCATTATTTCCATGGACAAGATTAATAAAATATACTGTTTTCGACCCATATTTAAACTCCTGCTCCTGCAGTTTGATGGATTCAGTGCTCACTGCTAGCTTTTGGCCAAAGTCCATCCTTCAATGATTTCCTTAGTTCAGAGTCATGGGAACTGAGTTCCTTCATGTTCTGTGCTTTTCCTGTTGACTTTTTATGTGAGAATTCAGTTGACGTGACGTTCTCAAGCCTTCTTCTATGTCACTAAGCCATCACAGGCAATGTCACCTGTCTCCTGAGTCACTTGTGACTTTGGGAGAAGTTGAGGCTGGCCTGGCAGTTTCCTCACAGAGAGATTCATCTAATGTGTGCTTCTTGTTCATTTACTTCGGATACTCAATGTGTTCTTTCTGAAAAGTCCAGTTACTTTACCATGGTTGTTTCTTAATGTTGATCATTCTCTGTGAGCTTTTTTGGGGGACGTCTCAATTGTTAAACTCAAAGCTAATTGTATTACTTCTAAGCGCTCCTGAAATATATATATATATATATTTAAATTATAAAATAATTTAAATAAACATAAAAGTATAGAAAACATTAGAAGAAAAAGTCTCCGTAACTACCTCACACTACCAAATCTTAAGCTTTACACCTTTTTTAAACCAAGTTTTGTAGGAAAAGTGTGAAAAGATCCTCTATCATGGATCTGTTGCTACAGTTAAGTTGATTTGTTAAAGTGAGCCTGAACTTGTTAGCCTTGAAATCCATTGGCTTCATTTTTAGAGATTGTATAAAATGGTAGCATTCCTTGGAATCTTTCATAGGTGTTGATAACTTAAGATATTTGTGACTTTATCTCCTTAACGGTGGTTTTGTGATTGTCATATGATCTGTTATATGAAGAGCCTCTCTGGTTGCAAGACAATTACAGAGAGGGCAGCCTTTGCAATCAACAGGGAAGCCTTCGCGCGAGCATCTGGATGTCACCTCAGATACACGATGTGCTTAAAGCACGGTCCTCCCCCTCAAGAAGCAAGTAAGCGGAGCATACATCCGTGAGCAAGCAATGGTGCCGACCAGCCTGAGGCGAGGCCGTGATGGGAGCAAAGGGCAGACGCTCATGACAGAGGCGTGCGCCTCCATGTGTGGAGTACCAAAACATTCCCTCCTTCCCAGCAAAAGCTGCCCCACCGCAATCCCTGGACACTGGGCATAGCCTGCCTTCCACAGCACAGGGAGGCTCAGCTTGCCAGTGGAATTAAGGCTGCTAACTGGCTGACCTTGAGGCAGGGGGACGATCTTAGCTTATCTAGGGGGACCCAGGGTCACCAGAAGTGTCCTTAGAAGCGGGCTCGGTGGCAGGAAAAGCGAGTTGGGGGAGATGTGACCACAGAAGGTCAGAGAGATGGGACATGGCTGGCTGTGAAGGGGAGGAAGCGTCCTGAGCCCCAGACATGGGGCCTCCAAGAGCTGGAAAGAAGAGAAGATGGAGTCTCTGACAGAAGCCCAGCCGGGCCTCAGTCCCATCAAATGCATGATGTAGCCCAAGGAGCCCGAGTCGACTCCATCCCTACCGATGGTGAGAGAACTGTGCTGATACCAGCCGCAGCTGTGGTCCTCAGTTACCAAAGCAGCAAGGAGACTCGAGCATCGCATCTGGGAAGGAGAGAGGAGGACGTCACAGGAGAGGGTCTGGGGTGGGGGCTTCCCGCTGGTAACACAGGCGGCCGTAGGCTGGAGCTGGATCTGGGAGGATCTCAAGTACTGGGCCCAGTCAAGAATCAGTGACGCGTTTGTGCAACCATGAAACTCTAGGTTTTGTCTTTTATAAGGAGAAGTGGTGCTTCCAAGCAGAGCAGAGCCTGGGGGTCTCTGGGAAAGGCAGAGGCTTTTTTTGGTTTCGATAGCATCTGCAGAGGCCGTCTGCTCTGCTGGAGTTCCCAGAATGGAGACCCTGCACACCAGATTGTAGGGCAAGGGTGTGGGGCCGGGGCTGCCCACGCTGCTTGCTTGGGAGGCCCCGGATCACCAGCTGGCTGGTCCTTTCTGACCCCTTTATCACGTGTCCACGTGAGTGCGGCTCACTCCAAAGCTAACTCCTTGTTCTGCTGACAGTCGCTGCCTTGGGTCGCCTCTGTCTCCAGGTCCTGTCTTTGGTGTAAAAAACCAACTGCACGATTAGCCAAGCTGATGGAAGAGGAATTGGACATGAAGACAGCAGGATGTGAAAGAAAGTTTGGATTAACTCTTCGCCCTCTTCTTCACCTACCATGCCGGCTCAGGGCCAGCCCCTGCCCGCTGTGCCCTGCCCGTGAGCCCCCAACTTCTGTGACTCAACGTAAGTTGGGAACTCTCTGGGTAAGTACAGCAATTTAACTGTGAATGCCTGTGTGGAAAACCTGCCATACAGCCCAACACATCCATGGGCTTATTTATGAAGTCCTTCTGCTGGAGTTCCTCCCAGCCGATGGGATTTTTCCTGGGGTCTCTGTGGCACCAGAGCGTGGAGACCAGGGCATTATTATGCTGGTGAATTACGCTCCTATGCTATACCAGACCTTGAAATTGACGGAATTTACCTGCTCTGTTTTGTGCTTGCCTGAGACAGGTGGCCCCTTTGCCCCCCACCTTGACTAGAAAGCCAGTCCGCCCACCTCCGAATTTTCCAGGGTCTCATCCATATCTGGCTGATATGATAAGATGTATTTGCAATTTTGCACTTGGAGTTGACGCTGAGATAAGACCTTGGGGAAGCTGGGGCAGGGTGAGTGTAAATTGCACTTGAGACGAATGCACACTTGGGGGCCAGCAGGGGGGTGCTCCGGGGTGGGAGAGCATCGTTCCAAAAGTCACGTCCACCTGGGGTCTCAGAACGTGATGCTGTTTGGAAACAGGGTCTTTGCAGGTGTTAGTAGTTAGGATGTGGTCATACTTGAGTAGGGAGGAGGCCGGGTGGCCAGCTCCAGAACCGCAGGAGGAGGAATGAACTGCTGCCATCTGAAGTTGTCCGGTGAGTTCTTGTTCTTGCGGACATGCATTTCCTCAAGCCCACATCTCCGTGAAGATGCAGGAAGCAGCGAGAGAAAGGGGAGCTCACCATGCTATTTCCAGCCTGGGTGGCGTGTGCCCCCCAAGGGCTGTGACAGGCGACATGAAGTGTGAGGGGTGACACAGTCCAGATGGTCACTGGGGCCGCATACCGTCCGGCTGACTGCCGTCCAGGCAGCCGGGCAAGGAGCCACAGACCAGCCTTCCGGCCTGCCAGCCCTGGGAGCTCCCGAGATGCTGAGAAACGGGCATCTTCTCTGGTCATTGAAGAAAAGCAAGTTCCTTGTGGCCTCTAATTTTCCTTTTATTGCTTTCTGACGCTGACTGCCTTGATCGAGGTTTCCCCTGGGGATTCACACACCTGAGCTTGCACTCAGGTCAGAGTGTTTACTCTGGGCAAAATGCAGCTTCCTGTTTCAGAGAAGAAGGATTTAAAAAGGATTTTAAATGGGCTCCCAAGACTCCTTGAATTGCAAACAGCTTTTAAAAGACAACGCTTTAATGGGGGTACGGGTAACCAGTTCAAAAACAAAAGGGTTGGATGTCCCTTTAAACGTATATGGGCTTAAAATGCAAGAAGGGAACAGATTTGGCAATGTTTCTTCTGGATTTTTACCGAATTCAAAATGCTTGAAAAATTTCTCCACGTGTGACCAAACACAACTGCAAAAAATTTATGAATGACCCAGAGACAGCAAAAGTGATCATGCAAATCCAAGCAGCTCGTCGGTGTCTGTGCCTGAGAGGAAGGGTCTCCTGGAGCCCCCTCCAGGCGGGGAGGGCGCCTAGTGGGGGCTCTCAACCCCGTGGAGCCATCTGGGGCTCTCATTAGGACAGTGGACAGCGGGTCTTCATGTAAACAGTGGATTCTGTGAGTCAGAATCAGCGCGTTTACTCGACAGGAGGTGAGCAAAGCCTGGTGCCGAGCCCATCCAGTGGAGAACCTCACCTTGACCTGCTTAGTGAAGTGGTGCTGAGAAAGCCCAAACACTAACTGTGCTTTGTAAGCCCAGGAGCCTCCTCCTGGGTGGAATCCGCGTGGCGGGCGGCAGGCAGGTCCTGCCTGGCCCATAGGCCTCTGGGCGTGCAGCCACCACTCCTGGGCAACCTGGGTCTTGACCTCATGAGCTACCTACCGCACCGGTTTCAGGGCAGAGAAGGAGAATGCAGATCCGGTCCGTTCTGCAAAGCCCTAGCCTCTGCCGAGCGCAGAAGGGCGGTGGGAGAACCTCCCAGAGCTCCAGGGAAGGGGGACGGTGGGGTCTGGTGGTCTCGGTTTGGGCCCCAGAAGCAGACACTGGCATGAGGGTTGAGGCCCACCTGGGTGTGTTTAGGGGTGACCCCAGAGCTGGGGCAGAACCACAGAAGAGGTGAGACCAGCCATGGGCACCTGCTAGTCCCATCAGGATTACCCAGCTGCAGCACAGACGGCCTGAGGCTGCTCCAACCCCAGCGTGGAGACGGCTGCCATGCCCGGCCTCCACGTCGCAGGTCGGCTGGGACCAGTGGGAAAGCGCGGGTTCTGGCAAGCTTCTTGGCAGGCACCGAGGGCCAGCCGGGACCTCTGTGACGCCTGCTGTCATGATCACTGGGTGAAGGGGCGGGTAGCAAGTGCTAGAGTTCAGAGGAGGGGAGAACTTCATGGGGCGTGGTGGGGGGCGGCCTTTACAGACAGTCAGGAAGGTTGGAGGGGGGGCCGTCTCCGGCCTCCTTCTGAGAACCTGAGCTGGTGGAGGAAGGTTGATGAGCATCTCCTCAGGGTGCCCTGCGGGCACAGGGTTGGTCCCTTGTGGACTGTGTTGATAGGGAGAACTTTGAGCAGAGAAGCACGAGGAAGGATTAGGTGTGGAGACCCTCCTGTGTGTCCCCCAACACCATCCTCGCACCTCCCAGAGCAGAGGGATCTTCTTATGCATGTGCCTGTATGTGAACGTTGGCTCCCGTGACTGTGATGGGTGCACCTGGCTGAGAAAACGGATAGTTGGTGCTTCTTGGTAGGAGTTGCAGGAGCAATCATGTTAAGCCACTTAGGCTGACATTGAAAGTGAAAGTGTTGGTCGCTCAGTCGTGTCTGACTCTTTGCTGCCAACTGGGCTATCAGGGAAGCCCCAGCTGGCATTAGGCAATTAATAAATTGTAATGTTGCCCATTTACAATCTAATCAGGTAATGTAGCCCAGATTTGTGTAATGCAGCCCATCAGAGATGAAAGGCGAATGTGCTTTTACTCTCAGTGGCTTTGTGATGCTTATTCTAAAGTGAGATTAGAATTAAAGAGTGAGGTACCAACTGTGTGTCCCTGATGGCTCAGCTGGTAAAGAATCTGTCTGCAGTGCAGGAGACCCCGGTTCGATTCCTGTGCCAGGAAGATCCCCTGGAGCAGGAATAGGCTACCCACTCCAGTATTCCTGGGCTTCCCTGCTGGCTCAGCTGGTAAAGAATCTGCCTGCAATGTGGGACACCTGGTTTCAACCCCTGGGTTGGGAAGGTCCCCTGGAGGAGGGCATGGCAACCCATTCCAGTATTCTGGCCTAGAGAATCCCCAAGGACAGAGGAGCTCGGTGGGCTAAAGTTCATGGGATTGCAAAGAGTTGGACACGTCTGAGCGACTGAACACTATGTGTAGGGGTTGCCTCTTCATCAGAAGCATCAAATTAGCATTATCTGCCAGCATCCCAGGGATGGTCTGGGGCAGTGAGCAGGGTGCCCAGGAGCCACCTGCCAAAGGCTTGGGGACCACATCTCCTCTGTTGGGTGCCCAGTGTGACCAGCACCCTGGGCCCAGGTCCCTGGAGCGTCTGGGGCAGGGGCCTCAGTGCTGTGACTGAAACTGCCCTCTGTTGAGCCTTGTGCCCTTCAGGGACTTGGTGCCTATTTGCCCAAAAGAGCGTCCCTGGGCTGGTGATGCTGGTGCAGGGCAGAGACTCAGGACGTGTGTGGAATGAATGAGGTGATGGAGAGCAGGCCTGAGAGGCGCTGGTCCTGCTTGATGGATTGCTGAATAACCCAGGCCTTCAGGAACCTCTCACCTTCCAGAACCCCGGTTCCTGGGGGCTGTGTCCATCCCAGCTTTTGTTCAAGTTTCTTTTCTCTGACGAGGGTTCAGAGAGACTCTGGCCCTGCCCTTGCCTAACCAACCTCTTTCTGTAGATCGATATGTATGCTCATGTCTTTAGTTTTTATTGGGCAGTAATTCTGCGACCCATATGTAATTCATTAGCATGTAAAATGCTCTGCTATTTGAGCCAAAATAATATCCAGGCTGTCTGAAAAGTCTGGCAACAGAGGATAAACTTATTTCAAATAGTTTATTAGTTACATTTTCAAATAATATACTTAATATGTTTCCCCTCAACCTCCAGACACCTTTTAGGTAAAGTAACTAAATTTAAAATAAGAGGTTTGATCTCTAGCCTGAAAAAATACAATAAATATACTATTTCCCCCATGTTTCCAGAATGTTTGCAGTGTACTTATTGCAATTTTGTTTCAGATTAACAATAGGATCATTGCTTTAAATTTAGAGGTACTTCATCTGAAAAGCTGTCTGGAGGTTGAAGAAAAACATGTTGAAGATATCTTTTTTATAATGTAAATAACATGTTTAAAAGTAAGATTTTCATGTGTTTGTGGAACTTTTGTACATCGTGTAATTGATAAGCATCTTGGGAAGTTTATTTTAAATTCTTTGTTATGGATTAGTTAAAAGAGACCAAGTACTTCGACATTTATTTTCAAGTGTCTACTCATAATACGTTCAGAAATAAAAAAATAAAGATTGAGGTTTTGGCTTGATCCAAATTTTACACTCTGCAAAAAATATTTTAAAAGGAGAAAATAATAAATTCAAAGTAGGAAATAGGGCAAAGTGCCCAGCATTCTCCATCAACAATGTGTCTGTGTTCAAACTCCACAGGCTTCATAAACCCTCACGGGGTCTTCATGGGTGGGGTGTGCAGGGGCGGAATGAGAGTTCTTTCAACCGATGCTCACAGGCTAAGCCTTCACATCTGAGCAAAGCCATTTTGGTGGAAGATGGGGGTCAGGTGACCTTGGGATCCCTGGGTTGGGTGGAGTGGTAGACAAATTTGTTTTGTTCCCAGAGGGTATTCATATCCAAGTTCAAGGTTGACAGGAGAAGCTCAGACTCACTCTCTGCATCTTGACATGGGTCAAGCGAGACCTGCGCCCGGGAGCCCCTTCGGATGAGTTTGTGTGTAAGTCTGTCCCAGGGATCCAGGACCGGGGTGCTGTGCTCACAGGGCTCGTGGTCATCAGCCACAGACCCTAAACTGCCACAGTTGGCAACCTTGAAATCCCAGCAAAAAGCAGGATTTAGAGAAATTCAGTAAAAATAGTAAGAGCCCATTAAGACATTCTAGAAGAAATCTGTTTCCAAAACAAACTGGGTTTGTTAATGTAAACCCTGATCACGGACCTAACCCTCCCCAGCACCCTCCGAGGCCCGGAGCAGAGCTGGGCAGACCGGCTCCCAGGTTCACGGTGTAGTCATACCTCTTTACAGCTTTTTGAACTAGTGCTTACTGGCTTGAAATTTAATATATTTTATGCTCAATTTTCTTCTAGTTCTGTCTACATATGCCTCAGGGGGAAAATGCTTGCATATACCCCTGACCTTTTAATAAATTACTGCTGTTTTTCTCTGCAGCTAGCATTGCTCCCTGAGGATTGAGGCTCTCTCTGGGGGCATATTGCAGACCCGCCTCCCTTGGGGGTGGAGGGGCCTTGACAATAGTGGAGCTTTTCGTTTAAGGGGCCCGTCCGTGTAGACCCAGAACTGGCGGTCAACAAACACAGGGCCTGACTCTCTCAAGACGCGTGGGGACTGACTCTCACGTTGACGCAGCACTCTACAGCCTCATGACGACGACCGGCGTCACGTACCGTGTGACGTGTGACCGAGTGGGGCCCCGCCTCCTGGGGTTATGGAGGTGAGAGCCCACTGTGGCCACCGGACCCCCTCCCTTCCCCGTCATACAGATAGGCCTATGTGACCAGCACAGACTCTGAAAGTACAGTTTACATACTCAGCTGCTGGCAGAACTGTTCAGGAGCCGTGACAGGCAACCATCGATCTTGGATGAGATCCTCTCTGGTGAGGCTACTGAGTGTCACAGGGACCCTGAGCCATGGCGTCCATGGGCGGCGAGAGCGGACCGTCTACTGGTGAGAAAAGGAGAACCAGGCAGGGAAGATGGGGTTTGACCTTGGCCTTGAAATGGACAGGGCTGTCGTGTTTCCAAAGCTGAAGAGTGGGAGAGATCTCCTTACAGGTAAGCGTGGCCTGTGTGTGTGACCAGCGTCTGGGTGGGGTGGGGAGGGGGGCCGCAGGAGTGGGGTGCGGAGCCAGGAGGGCGGTCTGGCCGTGGGCCGAGCACTTGGGGCTGGCAGCCCGCGGACCCCGGGATGGGACTCTGAGACCTCGGGGCCCCGGGCCCCGTGGACCCCACGATGGGACCCTGAGCTCCCAGCCACAGGGCCTCTGTCTGTCTCTGCGGCCCCTCACTCCAGGCCTTCCTCCAGAGCGCGATGCTGTCTGTACTGGAACCGTGTACTTATTTGTGCGAAACTGCAGTCAGAACTTTGTGTCTCTTAAACTTGCGTTTCTAATAAATTTCGGCGGTTTGTTCTTGCCTGCTTTCTCTGGGCCCGGCGGCCGCTTCGTGTGGGCTGTGTCTCCTGCACCAGCCATCCTGCCAGCCCGGTGTCTGCTGCGGCTGCATCACCGAAGCCGCCCCACCCAGGCCACAGTGAGTCCCTGGCTGACAGACATGCCCGACAACACTTTCCTTCAGTTCTCGCTTCTTCGTGATTCCTCAGAGACTACTAGACATGGTCCACGTACGCTTCCCAGAAGGGGCTGTACACAAGTGCCAGTAAAAGGTGCCGGGAAGGCACTTCCCAGACACGAGCAGGTGGTGGCCACGCGGGCCTCAGGTGGCACCCGCATCTCACCTGCAGGAAGCTCAGGCGACGGCCTAGGTCCTCCTGCACCGCCCACCGCCCCAGCCTGTTCCCAGGAGACTCGGGAGCAGTGACTGGCAGAGTCACAGCCTGGCAGGAATGTTGCAGTGAATCCAGCAAGTGTTCCCAGGAAGGCCTGAGAGAAGCTGGTCTGGAATCGATTTGTAACTTTTCCCGACTCCCCTCTGCCTGACGTCTCTGATGGGCACTTTAACAGATCTGCCCTGGTGGGGTGGGCGGCCCTGCTCTCCGGGGGCTGTGGGCCCACAGAGAAATTTGGTTGTCTCTGGGCTCCAGGCCCACCCAGGCGGAAATCAAGACCACCGTCTGCATCTGCGATAAGACTTCACCTCTCCGCAGCTGTGCTCGGTGACCACGCAGGGCCAGGCCTGTTCTCTCTCTGATGGATGCGGGCCTGCTAGCCCACCCCTGATGCCCAAGGGATTTATGAAAAGACACCTGCGAGGCAACACCGCTCCATCCAAATAGCGAGAACATTTCTCTTCTTCCTTTTGTTCGGGCTAAGTGCCGATCCTCTTCTGTCCAGCTTTTGGCGTGCACTTGAACTGGCTTTTCTCGTGTGTGTCTTCTTTCGTTTAACACCGGAAATTGAAGGGCTTCAGGCCTTTCGTTCTCATAAAACCTTGGCTGCTTTTTCTCTCAATATTGGAAAAGTCAAGGTGCCATGTGGGTTGCCCACACGTGGGGTGGGGCTGGAGGGGTCTGCGGCCCTGTCAGCCCTCCCCTCCCCTCCCCTCCTTCCCTGCCCTCCCTTCCCTCCCCTCCCCTGCCCTCCCTTACCCGCCTCTCTGCTCCCCTCCCTCCTGCTGGGGACTTCTGTGTCCGCCTTCAAGGTCTTTAAAGTGAAAGTTAGTCAGTTGTGTCTGACTCTTTGCAAACCTCATGGACTATATGGTCCATGGAGTTCTCCAGGCCAGAATACTGGAGTGGATGGCTGTTCCCTTCTCCAGGGGAGTTGGGGGGTGCTGCACACAGACCTCAGCAGGCTACTGCGTGGTAAAGACTGAGACTCAGTTTCCTTTTGATTTAACGAGAGCAGGTCAAGGGTCCCTGAACAGGATACAACACCCAGTTCAAAGTCGATCGTAGAAGACTCTGAAAAGAGGAAGAAGATGTGGGATGCTGTGGGACGGGGTCTTTCATCCTGACCCTGTCTCGATTTTGATTAGCTGTGGATGTGAGACCAAAAAGAGGCTTCCCCCATGAGCGGAAGTTCTGAGGAATGACAGACGCTCTCTGTCTCAGCACGATCAGCTTCCCAAACCCTAGAACCAGGCTCACCATTTCTTATCCTTCTGCCCTAACTGCTGTATTACTATAAATTGTACTATAAATTGTGGCCTTGTGGAAAGGAGTGCATAGTAATTTTATACTTGGCAAGTCCACTTACAACATAAAGCTATCAAGCCATTGATCAGCCAATCAGTATTGAGTTCCCTGAAGTCTGTGTACAGAGGTCTGATAACTTACCTGAAAACAGGGTGAAACAGGAAGAAACTGCAGAAGTAACAGAAGCTCATGGAAGGTAAGAAGAATTTTAAAATGACAATTGTGAGGAAACTTAGAAACAGTCCTCTCCACACTCCTGTGAACAAATCCTCTCTACGTCTTGCCTTACCAGTGATCCTACAGTCTTTGCTGAAAGATTTTCAGTGTTCAAACCTGCGACCTAGCAGTGTGGCTGTTCTGCCTGCCCTGAGGGTCAGCAACCTTCTTTATCCTCGGCCAGAGTACATCAGGAGAAACGCTGGGCTGGGTGAAGCACAAGCTGGAATCAAGATTGCTGGGAGAAATACCAATAACCTCAGATATGCAGATGACGTCACCCTATGGCAGAAAGCGAAGGAGAACTAAAGAGCCTCTTGAAGAAAGTCAAAGAGGAGAGTGAAAAAGTTGGCTTAAAACTCAACATTCAGAAAACTAAGATCATGGCATCTGGTCCCATCACTTCATGGCAAATAGATGGGGAAACAGTGGAAACAGTGACAGACTTTATTTTGGGGGGGCTCCAAAATCACTGCAGATGGTGATTGCAGCCATGAAATTAAAAGACACTTGCTCCTTGGAAGAAAAGTTATGACCAACCTAGGCAGCATATTAAAAAGCAGACATTATTTTGCCAACAAAGGTCCATCTAGTCAAAGCTAAGGTTTTTCCAGTAGTCATGTATGGATGTGAGAGTTGGAGTATAAAGAAAGCTGAGTGCAGAAGAATTGATGCTTTTGATCTGTGGTGTTGGAGAAGACTTTTGAGAGTCCCTTGGATTGCAAGGAGATCCAAGCAGTCCATCTGAAAGGAAATCAGTCCTGAATATTCATTGGAAGGACTGATGCTGAAGTTGAAGCTCCAGTACTTTGGCCATCTGATGTGAAGAACTGACTCCTTAGAAAAGACCCTGATGCTGGGAGGGATTGTGGGCAGGAGGAGAAGGGGACGACAGAGGATGAGATGGTTGGATGGCATCACTGATTCAATGGACATGAGTTTGAGTAAACTCCGGGAGTTGGTGATGGACAGGGAGGCCTGACGTGCTGCAGTCCATGGGGTCGCAAAGAGTCGGACACAACTGAGTGACTGGACTGAACTGAACTGAACTGAACAGAGTGGGGTTTGCTCATCAGATGGGGGCAGGGGGGTTGGAAATCAGGCCTGGGTTGTACCTGGGTTACACCTCCCTGGACAGGTGAGGGTGCTTGAGACTCAGAGAAGAGCAAGGTCCTCGGTCACTGTGAACAGCGACAGTGTGGGGCCCACTCCTCCCGCCCCTTCGCCGCCTCCCGTGAAGTCAGCTCTGCTCTAGTTGGTCTGAACCAGAGCCAGCAATCCTAATTCTCAGAAGTTTAAGATCCTATTTCTTACACAGGGCTTAGAATAGAGGGGAAATCGAGAAGAGCTTTATTCTGCCTTCTGTCTAATGGGACTTGAGCTCTAAAAGGAGAAGTTGCACAAAACAGCAGAAAGGGCTTCTTTTTCCAAGGGAAGCAGCATGGCTAAGTGGTTAACAGACTCAAACCTCCTTCAGAATGCTCTTGGCAATGAAATAGCTTTGGATGCATATCCGGTGCTAGAAGAAGAGTTAGTGCTGGTTGCTAATTCTAGGAGGTCCCTGTGCCCACGAGCGGTCTTTGAAGAAGATCTTCTAAGAGATGTCTGTGCCCATCTTCATATATTTTCATTAGCTTTGCTTATCATCATGCTCAGTCACTCAGTCGTGTCTAACTCTTTGTGACCCCATAGACTGTAGCTCTCCAGGCCCCTCCGTCCATGGGATTTCTCAGGCAAGAACACTGGAGTGGGTTGCCATTTCCTTCTCCAGGGGATCTTCCCTACCCAGGGGTGAAACCTGTGTCTCCAGGACCTCCTCCATTGCAGGCAGATTTCTTTCCTGCTGAGCCACCAGGGTCATCAGTGTAGCTTTAAATCCTGGTCTTTGTGGGAAGAGAAGTGTGCTCACCTGCCCGGTCAGTGGTACAGAAGCCTGTGAGTGTGTGCTCTCCCGTAGACGGTCAGCCTGTCACAGACAACATCCTCCTCCTGCTCACCCATAATGGGAGGGGTGGCGGAGCGATGTGCACCCTATTACCTCCGGGACTGGGTTTCTGCACTATAGGTCTGAAAACAGTTTATGCCTGTGATCTGGGGACGCCTCCAATTTCTCCACCTAGTGACGTGATGCAGTTATGGTAGAGAGGCTTAGAATGGGGCAGAACTGGCACAGTTACAAGCTGGGTGAGCAGGAGTTTGCTCTGAGCTTTCTCTTCTGAGCAGTGGGCACAGGGCGTCTTGGTTATTCAGTGTGTTCACAGAATTTTCTTTACAGTATCTCAGGACCCTAGACCCCAGTTATATTCTGCTTAGGAAAGGTGATTTTCTTTTTAAAAATGGCAATTAGAAATCATTTTGCTGTTTTTAGCAAAATTTAAAGGAATTAATTATATCAGTTTTTCATATGCGTTATAAGGCTCCTTTATTCATGGAATTCTCCAGGCAAGAAAACTGGAGTGGGTTACTATCCTCTTCTCCAGGAGTTCTTCCTGACCCAGAGATCAATCCAGGGTCTCTCGCACTGTAGGCAAATTCTTTACTGTCTGAGCCACCAGGGAAACCCAAATACACGTATACCTGTGACTACTGTATTCATAGGAAGCACTCAAGTGTTCAAAATCAGCGTGAATTTGTGACGTGCACACTGGTCTGTGTCATGAGAAGTGCTGAAAGTTCTGAGCTTAATCGAGTAAGTGGACTTTCCCACAAACCAGCAGCGGCTTTGGTCAGATGCCTCCTTAGCACTGGACGTTCCTTTCGTGACGGTGGTTTCGCCCCATTCCTTGACTTGGCTGCTCTGCTGGGGAGGGTCCGTGTGGGGGAATGGGGTGGGAGCCCAAGGATGACCATGATGCCCACTCTTTGGAGGCAGTGAGGGATCTGCTGGAGGAGGGCAGTGTTGCCAGGCGGAGTGGCCCCTCTCCAGCCCTTTCTGCCTCCTTCTGGTCTACTTGTCTGTTGGGGAGCAGGGGTGTCCCATCCTCCGTCTGGGGAGCCCCAGACGCTGTCAGGCCCCAGTCCTCTGGTGCAGAGAGCAAAAACGGGAGAGGGAGACTTGGAGGTTACACCTTTACATTTTGTTGGGAAATTTAAAAATGGTTTCTTCACAGGTACGATGGCACATAGGGCTTTGTGCCCGTGTATGTGTGAGATGCATTCAAAACATTCCTGGAAGGTCTTTAGGAAACGTCTCATCCACACATCACCACTTCAGAAGATGCCAGTGTCCCCTGTGCAGACGGAGCTGTGACCCTGGTCACTGGCAAACCTCCCCATTGCCCCGGGCCTGCCTGCAGACTGGACATGCCTGTCACTGCCATCTGTTTCCAGGTCCCCACATGGGCTTAGGTCTGGACACAGAAGCAGATATGAGCAGGCTGGTAGGAGACGAGCTACAGTGACACCCGGCGCAAAAACAGGAGCCTCCAGTTGCGTGGAGGTGCTCAGGACCTCTTGGGATTGCCGGTGGATTCTATTGGGGGCTTTACCGGGGTCGTCAGAGGCCAGAACACCAGGTCTGTCTCTGGGAGATAGTCTCCCTTCACGCCACACCCTCCGGCCGGGGTTCTGGTTTGTAACATCGCCCGCCTTGGAGCCGGCTGTTACCGTGGCTGCTTCTGTCATGTCACCGTTGTCTTTGTCCCCAGTCGCTGCATCCTGGGAGTCGACAGGAAGGATCGAGTTTCAGCAGAACGTGTGTTTCGCTGCATTGAAACTCCGGCTGCTTCCTCAAGTACACACCAGTATGTCCAAGAGCCACAGAGGACTCACTGATCTCATCACAGCCCATGGAGCCTGAAGGGTGACTGGCTGTTTTGCGAGGAAAGAGTTCCTCCAGCACAGCCCCTGCCCCTCCCACAGCCCTCAGGACTGGACGCCACCATCGAGCATCCCCGGCCCAGAGAGGAAATCACCCTCTGATTGTCACTACTTTTCTTTCAGTGGGAGGGATGGTTAAGCTAGCTTCTTACCAAATGTACAATAAATTAATTGATAAAAATACGAAGAGTTTCTCTTTGACTTTTTGACAAAAGTGAAAGCAAAGACACAAAAGCACAGAAATATTTGTTGAAAAGAAAACCCACAGGAAATGAGAGAAGCTAATATTCTTTGTCGGCTTGAAACATATGAAAAATGAGGCTGTTTTATTTAAGAGGGGACAGGCTGGATCAGTCTTGGGGGCAGTGCTACATAATAAAGAAGGCCAGGGGACCCACCCAGCATTATTTTCTATATTAAAGTGTGTGCATTTTGCCACAAGCAAGAGGAACTGATGGTAGTGAGTAGGGAAACATGCTTTAAATGTGGCAGCACACACACACACATGCACACACACATAGACATGCTCACACACACACACACACTCACAACACACACATGCACACACACGCACACACACATACATGCACATACACACATGTATATACACACATGCACACACTCACATATACATACACACACTCACACACACACATGCACACAGGTCCCCCTGGCAGCCCTGAAATGACCTGATCTCCTTTGGGATGATGCTGGAGGCACCACCTGGCCCCTTCCTCCCCAGTGACAGGTGCTGACTGAGGTGCCTGGTGCAGAGCGCAGGAATGGGCTCCTGAGCCTGGTCTGCTTTGTCAACCTTCAGAAAACAAAGCTTTCTGTCCAAATGCAGATTCAATGCAAAATTCCCTTTTCACTGTATGTTGCACATATACAAAACTTTGTATTTTTCAAAGGACATAATTTATTATCCATATCTTATTTGTAGATTAAAATATTTTATTAAAAACTTAAAGTACGGTAAACCCAATGTGCAGCCTATAACTTGAAAGTTTATTTATTTACACATAAACTGATTAAAAGTTTCTTTGCCTTAGGCGGTACATGGCTATGTTTTAAAATCTCCATAAAACAGGATCAAGTACTTGCTGTGAACTTACCCAGGACACACAAATAACAGTAAAACAACTGGAAGCCTCCTAAATATAGGCATTCACTTGCTCCAAAAGGAATTTTTGATGTATTTCTTCTTTGTTTTAAAACTAGGAGAGAAATTCAGAGCATTCACTTCTGAAAGTTTCTTAAACTTTCTGCAAGGTTGGAGATGACGGTTTTAAAAAATGGCTAAAGACCTACTGACACTGCTAACTGTAGAATCTGAAGCACTAGTCCTAGGATTACACCGTTTTATTAGCAAATCAGAAATAATTGTAATGTTTACAAAGCTGGAGTGCTAAATATTACATGATGAAGGCCATAGAAAGTGGTTTGTAAATTTTATTTTCTTTCAATGTTTATTCAAATTTCAAAAAACCTTAATCCTTAAGGTTAAAAAAAATCAGTAAATATTGAAGTTTCAATTTTAAAACCACTTAAAAATTGAGAAATTCTGAAAGAGCAATAGATGCTGTTAACTAACTAAAAATAACTTTCACATCAGGTTTGTAAGCCTTCAGTCCAGTTCAGCTGCTCAGTCATGCCCATTCTTTCGACCATGACTTATCTGACATAAGGTACTATTATTTATGCATAGTTTGAATTTTTATATTTCTTCCTATTAAATCAGTAGTCTTCACACATGGTTTTAGTAAAATCTTCATCTCTCCAGCATAGTATTCTTTTAAACAGTGAAGACGGAGCTTTCCAAGTTTATGTTCTTGTTAGGATTGAAATGAAATTCTTTAAGATTCAGCGCTGTCCTTGTGAAAAATAAAAAGCAAAGGCGGCATTTTGGGGCGAGGTTTTGATAAGAGCTTCAGGACTAACTCAAAGCTTCATAATTTCTAGGGAAAGGATAGGAAACGTCTATTTTATACCAGTTAATGGCGCTATGCAGCATCTCTGGAAGGTGGGCCGCGCCGGCAGGGCGGGGGGCGGTGGTGGGCAGAGCCGGGCATGGCGTGGCTGGGGGGCCCCCAGAGCTGGGCTCCTGCAGAGCTGGGCTCCCCGCTGGGAGACCCCGTGTGCCCACTCTGCGGAACCCAGAGCACAGACAGAGAGGGCGTCGGGGTCTGGAGACGTTTCTGACTGTGAATTGCTTCAGGTCTTTTAAAAACGGCTTTAACTAGTTTAAAGGACTTTGTCTTGTTTGGTCCCCTTTACCTGACCTGTCCTCACTGGGCAGAAAGGG